GCCCCCGCTGCCGACCCCCGGCCGCTCCCGGCCGCTCACCATGTCCCCGGCGGCTGCGGCCCGGCGGCTGCACACTTGCTGGTCGGCTTCCTCCTGGGGCAGCCGGGCTCCACTTCCTGCTCGCTCCAACTTTCAGCCCGCCTCCCCCGCCCACCACGCACAGCTGCCCCGCCACACCTAGGGCAGGTTCCCCAGGTAGGCGGGCGCCCTCCACCGCCCTCCCAGGTTCCGCCCAAAGGCCCAAGCTTAAAGCAACAGGGCTCCCGGGAGCCAAGGGGTTTCTAACTTGTCAGGAATGCGAAGAGCAACCCCTCCTAGGTCTGCTGAGGCTAGACTGTCTCCTTTGAAAAGGTAAATTGATTCATTTGTTCTATTTTGGGGGGTTTTTGAGGCAAGGTCTTGCTACGTAGTTCAGGCTGGCCTCAAACTCATAGAGATCCCCCTGCCTCAGCTGAGATTATAAGCATGTACCCCCATGCCCAGATTGACTGTCCGCTTTCTATGTCCTGAATATCTAGTTCTAGTTTCTAGAGAGAAGCCAAGCATAAGCACCCTGCCGGGGCTGGTTTACATGGAAACAGAATGCGGGAGCTAAACTTTCCTGCGGGACAATCCTGGCTGGTGGGAGCCAAGGTGGGCAGAAACCAACACCCGAAGTCTGGGTGTCAAAGGTCTGAGTCACTAGCTGGATGACCCCGAGCGAACCTCTTCACCTGTCTTGATTTTGCAGGTGCTAACGCTGAGCTCACACAGTGGAGAGAAGGAATAAAAAGCGCAAGCAGGATGCCTGCCAGAGGGTCAGGCACCCAGCCAGGAGATGATAGCTCACACCCCTCCTTTCCCTGGAGACTCCAGCAGCCCACTTGTCTCCGGGGGTCATCACAGGGGTTACTGACCTCAGCCCAGCGGTCAGAGGGTGGCCCTAGGACTAGAGGGGCCCAGGGTATAGGATTTTTCCACCAAGCTGGCTTTGGGCCGGAGAAAATCCACTCTTCCCGGATGGTGTTTATCAAGACAGAAAGAATAATAATAGGGACACTGAGACAGGGACCAACATTGTTGTGTCATCCCAAGAGAAATAACAGTTCCAAGGAGGAAATGTCAGCTTCCCCAAAAATATTTTAAAAATGTTCAGTTCTGCGGCATTTTGAGGCTCTTATTCCTTTGTGCGTACTTTCTTTTTTCACAAGGATTGAATCCAGGTTATCAAGCTACACTCCAGTCACTACACCTCTAGTGGTGTTGTCACAAAGCGTCTTACGCCCTTTTAACATTTAAAACTGGGCAACACCTTTCCAGTGAAACACAAGAAAATTTTAAAATAAACAGGGATAAGAGTACAGTAGAGAATGTTAATTCTAAATAAGATTCCACAGGTTCTGTTGATTCTCCCATTAAGTGGCAGGGCTCAAGTCGTCAGGAGGAGAGAATTTTGTTTTATTATTAATATTATTATTATTGTTGGTATTGTTATTATCATTTTGTTTTATTTTGAGACAAGGTCTCAGTATGCAGTTCAGGCTGGCCCTGAGCTCATTTTGTAGCCCAGGCTGGCCTCAAACTTGCAACACTCCTCCTGCCTCAGCCTCCCGAGTGCTGAGATTACAGGTGTGCATCACCACGCCCAGCTGAGGATTTTATTTTAAAGTGTCATCTTAAATTGCAAGGGTGTCCATGAGACAAGAATTGAATTTGAGCCAGACACAGTGGCACATGCTTGTAATTCCAGCGCTTGGAGGCTGAGGCAGGAGGAGTGTGAGTTCAATGTCAGCCTGGACTGCATAATGAGACCCTGTCTCAAAAGAAGGAGAGTATTAAACATGGCAAAGGAAAAGCCGCATTGTCAAAATGCCCAGTTAATTCACCTGAGTGTTGAGATGTTTGGTGTGTGGTGCTGGGATGTGAACTCAAGGCTGGCACAGGTGAAGCACCTCCCTCCTGAATGGCACCCCCAACCTGAGACACTTTCATGAGGTCTAATATGATAAAATCTTATCCCCAATTATAGTGTAAGGTTATTGGATTGTAAGGACCTGAATGTTTGTGGCCAGGACAACCAGGGACACTAGGTTTGCTGCTGCATCCTCCTCCTCTTCATCCATAGACAGCCTGCAGCGTGGCCAGGTGGGGATGGGTTAGGGTCCTCCATCTTGTCCTCCAAGACAATAGCCACTCACCAGATGTCGTTGTTGTGTGTGTGCAACGTGGCTTGTCTGAACTGTGATGTGTTGTAACTCTAAAACATAACACCAGATTACAAAGACTTAGTATGAAAAAAAGAATGTAAATCTCTCATTAATAACTTCTTTTTGAGAGAGGGTCTCACTATATAGTTCAGGCTAGCCTTGAACTCACTATGCAGCCAAGGCTGGCCTCAAACTCTCAGCAACCCTCCTGCCTTAGCCTCCTGAATACTGAGATTACAGGTGTGCATCACCACCCCCAGATCCCCTATGCAATCTTATGGCCCACATGGGCAGTGTGTGCCTGCGCCCCATAGGAAGAGGCTGCAAGAACAAGAAAGAGGTGCTGAGGAGGTTCTTTGGAAATCACAAAGCTCACACCACTGACAAGGGCCCCTGTGTTTCTCAGCCTGTGGCACTGCTGACCACCCCATCAGTGACAATCACCGCTGAGGTCTCGCCATATCCCCTCCCCTGGCTGTACCCTTGGAACCCTAAGATTCCGCCTTGCTCCTTGTTTTTCTGACTTGGAACTCTTTCCTAGAGTAGCGTTTCTCAGTGACTTTGCCCGCCGGGGGACATAGGACAGTGCCTGGAGTGCCTTTGTCACATAGAAGGGGGCCGGGTACAATGAGTCAGTAGTACACAGAGGCCACTGACGCTTCTAAAACAACGAGAAGGCCGTCGCCTCCGGCCCACAATGAACTGTTCCAGAATGTCCACAGTGCAGAGGGGGAGACAGCCGTGTGCGTGTGTGTGCGCGCGCGCGCGCGCCTGCGCAGTCACATTCCTTGTGGCGAGGTGGTATGTGTCCAACACATTTCAGGTCTTTCAACGCCCCCTTTCTTCCTTCACTCCCCCCTTCCTCCACCTCTTGGTCCCTCTCCCTTTTGCAAAAGGTCTACCTCTGTGTTTCCTGTTATCTGTCTTTCATTTATTTATACTCTGGAGTTCCTCGCCCATAAGAGAAGTCAGGTGCTGTTGAGGGGGCGTGCGTGATTGACTGACGCGATCCTGTCTCCCCCAGCTCGGGCTGAGGGCTGGCGGGTGGTCTGTTGCGGAGAAAGTTCCCGCGCAGCTGGACAACTTTGTGAATAGCTCCCGCCCCTGAATCTCGAGCGGTTCTTCTCTGTCAGCATCCAGTGCTGCTCTTCAGTGGCCTCCAGCACCCACGCTGATCATCCTTCCCCGTTCTCCCGGCCTCTCGGCACCCCTGAGGCACCCCACGTGCAGCCCTCACTGCGGCTTCATGCTTCCTTGGCTGCGTCTCCTGCTCCCCCTCCCCACTGAGCACCTGCAGGGTCCCCGCCCTGTACAACCCGTTCACCCCGCCCTGACCTTTCTGGTCATATCCAGGCCTCTAATGGCTACTTGTTATCTCTTCAAAACATGCTAGAGTCCGCTTCACCTTGTCTCCAGGTTAAAGCCCATCTTCATAGCCGGCATTCCAGGGATCTTTTTCTTTATTTTCTTGTTTGTTTTGTCTTTTTTTTTTTTTTCCTTTTTGATACAGGGTCTCACTATGCAGTTCAGGCTGGTCTTGAATTCACTTTGTAGCCCAGACTGGCCTTGAACTCTCAAGGATCCTCCTGCCTCAGCCTCTCGAGTACTGGGGTTATAGGCATGGGCCACCACACCCGGCTCACCATTTCCTTTTATAATTTTGCTTAGGGCCTTCACTCATCAGTGTCTGTGGAGATGCTTTTCTTATCTTTAGAGGTTTTTTGTTTGTTTGTTTGGAACTGCAAAATGAACTCAGGATTTATTTTCCTCCCTCTTGTTTTGTTGTTTTTTTATGTATCCCAGGCTGGCCTCAAACTCATAGTGATCCTCCTGCCTCAGCTTCCCGAGGCTGAGGCCACATTTCCTTTTTTATAGGTTCTATCTATGCTTTGTCATTAACTGCATACATATTTGACCTCTCCAAAACACCTCAACACCTCAGTTTTGTAACGCAGGGCCAACCTTAAACACACACACACACACACACACACACACACACACACGTCATAGCATTTTTTGGGAAAAAATTGCTGTTTGAGCACTTGAATTAGGGTACTTTTTTTTAGTACCGGGAATCAAATTCAGGACCTTGTGCTTGCCAGGCAGGTGCTTGTGCCACTGAGCTATACCCCCAGCAGGGTACTTTTCTTTTGAGACAGGCTCTGGCTATGTAGTCCAGGCTAGGTTTGAACTCTCGGCAATCCTCCCGCCTCAGCCTCCTGAGCACAGGGATTACAGGCATGTGCCACTATGCCCAGCTAGGGTACTCTTGAATAGTGCAGAAAAGGATTTTCAAGTGGGGGATTTCCACAGCAGTTGTTTTTGGAAGCAGGTCATTGGCTGGGCAGAAACCCTAAATTGCAAACTCCTCCTCACCAGTTCATGGGAGTCCTCCTGCTGAGAAACACGCAGGCAGGGAGGACTTCAGTTGTTTACCCTCCTCTGCTGCTGCATTCTGCGGTTTAACCTTTCGCAGCTGTCAGTACAGTCTCCCGACTCCACTTAGAAACTCGGAGCTGGGGCACTGTGGTGCCTGTTGCAGGCCCAGCTACTGGTGCTGAGGCAGGGTAATCACCTGAGGCCAGGAGTCTGAGGCCAACCTGGGCAACACACGGAAACCTTTCTTTGAAAAAAACGTCTTAGCCTTAATGACTTCGTTTTCTTTCACAGCAGGCCAGGGCTGTGTCCTCACCTCGCAGCATATAAAATAAGCCCTACAGGCTGTTGTAACTAGCTGTCTTATCTCTAGGGTCTATGTTAGCTGGCCATAGTGGCACATGCCTGTAATCCCAGCACTTGGGAGGCTGAGGCAGGAAGGTTGCCTTGAATTCGAGGCCAGTCTGGGCCATATAGTAAGGGTTTTTTGTTTGTTTATTTGTTTTTTAAGACAAGGTCTTGCTATGCAGTTCAGGCTGGCCTTGAGCTCACTTTGTAGCCCAGGCTGGTCTCGAACTCTGCCACGATCCTCCTGCCTCAGCCTCCCCAGTGCGAGGATTACAGGTGTGTGTCACCACGCCCAGCCATATAGTAAGTTTAAGGCCTGCCTGCACTACATAGTGAGACCCTGCATCAAAAACAAAAAACTAACCAGGTGTAGTGGCACATTCCTGTAATCCCAGCATTTAGGAGGCTGAGGCAGGAGGATCACTGCAACTTCAAGACCAGCCTGGGCTACAAAGTGAGCTCAAGTCCAGCCTGAACTGCATAGGGAGACCCTGTCTCAAAAAGACAAAAAAAAAAAAAAAAAAAGCAGGTTAAAGTGCTGAGGGTATAGCTCAGTGGCAGAGCATTGGCCTAATATGTGTGAGACAATCTCCAGACACATACCATAATCTGTCCCTCTCTTTATATATATATATATATATACACATACATATATATATTTATGTTACGCGATAAAGAGCTGTTGAGTTAATACAGTTCTTTATTTGTTTTTGTTTTTTCCGGTACCAGGGACTGAACTCACGACCTTGCTCTTGCTGGGCAGGCGCTGTGCTGTTGAGCTAACCCTCCAGCCCGTATTTTTTGGGTTTTTTTTTTAGACAATCTTGCTATGTAGTTCAGGCTGACCTTGAACTCACTATGTAGTCCAGGATGGCCTCAAACTCACGGGGATCCTCCTGCCTCAGCTGCCCGCTTGCCGGGATTACTGGGGTACAACACCATACCTGGGCTCAGTATAGCTTTTTTTTCTTTCTTTCTTTTTGAGACAGGGTCTCACTATGCAGTTCAAGCTGGCCTTGAGCTCACTTTGTAGCCCAGGCTGGTCTCAGACTTGCAACAATACTCCTGCCTCAGCCTCCCGAGTGCTAGGATTACAGGCATGCACCACCACATCTGGCTGTCTTGAGACAGGATCTTGGTATGTATTTCAGGCTAGGCTTAAATTAACTATGCAGCCCACAAGGTGGGCTCAACCTCAACGTGGCCTCAACTTCAAGGTGATCCTCCTGCCTCAGTCTCCCAAGTGCTGAAATTACATCCATCCATCACTATGCCTAGCTCCATCACTAATTTACTGCTTGTACCCAGAATGCTCTCAGTTTCCCCAGGAGTATTAACAACTTTGGCGGAGCGGGGGGGGCGGCAGAGTGTGGGGCCTGGTGGCACATGCCTATAAATCCCGCCATTCAAGAGGCTGAGGCAGGAGGATCACTGCTAGTTCAAGGGCAGAACCAACTTTAAACACACGGACACACAGACACACACACACACACACACACACACACAGAGGTCATAGCATTTATTTAGGAAAGAATAGCAATTCAAGCACTTGAATTAGGCTACTCTTGAATAGTGCAAGTTTGAGCCCAGCCTGGGCAATTTAGTGACATAGCAAGACCCAGTCTCAAAATAAAACATAGGCTGGTGTGGTGGCACATGCCTGTAACCCCAGTACTTGGGAGGCTGAGACAAGAGGATCATCCCAATTTCAAGGCCAGCCTGGGCTACACAGTGAGACCCTGTCTCAAATAAATAAATAAATAAATAAATAAATAAATAAATAAGCAAGCAAGCAAGCTGGGGATGTACTTTGGTGCAAGGCCCTGGATTCAATCTCAGTACAAAAAAAAAAAAAAAAAGAAGCAGAAAGAAAGGGGAAATACATTTGCCATATATATGCATACAGCACTTCTGTCAGTGGTGGTTTGGTGGTTTCCAAGAAAAAATACTTGATGCAAGGGTTTGAGTCCAATTCCCGGAACAAAACAAAAGTAAAGAAGAAGAAAAAGGAAACAACTTGAGTAATTAAACTGGCCACGGAGCTAGGTTTTGTTTTTAAATTAATAGGCTTTAGTTACTTATTTAATAAACTGCCTGTGTGGTGGAGCATGCCTATAATCCCAGCACTCAAGAGGCTGAAGCAGAGGATCCTTGTGAGTTCAAGCCCAACCGGAATGATATAGTGAGACTCTGTCTCAAAACACAAAATATTTGTTTCTTTATACTTCCTATATGGTTTTGTTTTGGGTCTTTTTGAGACAAGGTTTCACTCTGCAGTTCAGGCTGGCCTTGAACTCACTTTGTGGCCCAGGTTGGCCTCAAACTCTCAACCTCCTGAGTGCTGGGATTACAGGCGTGTACCACCACACATGGCTATACTTTGTGTATGTTAAGTATGAACTGTCCTACTGTGCTATACCCCAAGTACCTAGACTTTATTTTTTTGAGCAGCTTCAGGTTTATAGAAACAAATGAGTAGGATATACGGTTTCCATACAAACTTCCCTACTTCCTCTTTTCTTGTATTATTATTTTTGTACCGCTAATCAAACTCAGGACCTTGCACTTGCCAGGCAGGTGCTGAGCCACTGAGCTCCATCCCTGGCCCTCTTGTATTATTAACATCTTACTTAGTGTGCTACATTTGATACAGTCGAAGAGGCAATATTAGTATATTATTATTAACCAAATCCATATGGATACATTGTTATTTATGAAGGCCATAATATACGTACTCTTTGTGTTGTACTTTAGTGAGTTTTTACACGTGTATAAGTTGTGTTCACCGTCACATAACTTTTTTTTGGAGACAGGGTTTCGCTATGTAGCCCAGGCTGGCCTCAAACTTGCAGAAATCTTCCTGCTTTGCCTGGCAGCTCATGCTAGGGATTGAATCTAGGGTCATGTGTGTGCCAGGCATGTGCTCCACTACTGTGCTACATCCCCAGATCACAGCCCCTCTTCCTCCCTTCCCTCTTCCTTCTCCCTCCCTCCCCTCTTCCCTTCCTTTCTCCCTCTCTTCCTTCCTTCCTCCCTTCTGTGATAGAGACTGAACCTACACCCTTAACACTGAGCAACATCCTCATCTCTTTTTATGTTTCAAGACAGGGCCTTACTAAGTTGCCCAGGTTGGCTTGGAACTTGAGATCCTCCTGCATCAGCTTCTTAGGTGGCTGGGATGACAGGCATGGCCATCCACTTGAACCCAGCTGATTTCTTTTTAACTTAATATTCCATTGTACAGATGTGCTATAGTTTGTTTACCCATTCACTTACTGAAGGACATCTTGGTAGCGTCTAAGTTTTGGCAATCATAAATGTTATAAATATGCATATATATATATTTTGTCTTTATTATGCAGTTCAGGTTGGCCTTGAGCTCACTTTGTAACCCAGGCTGACCGTCTCGCTGGGATTACAGGTGTGCATTACCATGCCTGGCTGCATACACATATTTTTGTTTGCACATAAAATTTCAGCTTTCTTGGCTAAGTACCAAAGCGCACAATTGATGAATCCTATATTAATAGTATGCCTTTTAAGAAACTGTCAAATTCTCTTCCACAGTGGCTGTTCATTTTTTGATGTGGGGGTTGGGGTAATGGGGATTGAACCCAGGGCCTTTGTACTGTACTGAGCTACAGCCCCATTTTTATTTTTTGTTTTTATGTCCAGAGGGGTCTCACGAAGTCTCTAAATTGTCCAGGTTGGGCTTGAATTTACAATCCTCCTATCTCAGCCTCTTGGAGTGCTGGGATTGCGGATGGGCACCACCTTGCCCAGCTGTGGCTGTTCAATCTTGCATTCCCAGCAGCAGTGAATACAAAGTCCCTATTACCCCACACCCTCATCTCCACCGTGTGTTGTCGTCACTTTGGATTTTAGCCACAAGGTCTTAGTCACTAAGTTGCCCAGGCTGGGCTCAAATCCAGGTACTTGGGAGGCTGAGGCAGGACAATCACAGTGAGTTTGAAGCCGGCCTGGGCTACATAGTGAGTTCAAGACCAGCCTGAAATACATAGCAAGACCCTGTCTCAAAAAAAACAAAAACAAAAACTTTTCCTTTCCATTTAGTTAATCTGTGAGGTCAGGTTTCCTTTATATTCTTCAGTTAACATTTCACAACAGATTTTTAACTTTTTGTGGTAAATATACTTATTTTCCATAAAATGGGATGTATGTAAACATGTTATAATCATTATTGCATTTTTAACTAATCAATACAAAAATTTAAGATTATTAATTTAAAATTTTCCAGGGTTTGGATGTAGCTCATTGGTAGAATACTTGTCTAGCCGGTTCTGGTGCCATGTGCCAGTTCCTGGTTTTCATTCCAAGCTAAATAAATGCCGGGCATATAGCTCAGTGGCACAAGCGCCTGCTTGGCAAGTGCAAGGTCTTGAGTTCGATTCCTGGTACCAAAAAAGCCAACCAACCAACCAAACAAAAAAACAACCAAAACTCATTCCAAGTTAAATAAATAAAATTTCCAATATCATCATATTGAAATATATAATCTATATAAACAAAGTGGTTTATAAATTAATCAATTAATTATTTTGGAGACAGAGGCTCACTATGTAGTTCAAGCCGGCCTTGAACTCGCGGAGATGCTCCTGCCTCTTTTATTTCTAGTAGTAGAGACCAAAGTTTGAGAACCGCTGCTCTGGGACGGTTGCTTTTCCTGCTGCCTAGCCCCAGTGGGGAGAATCAGGTACAAGTCTGTGGACCACACTCTACTCCCTGGGCTCATTCTGCACCTGCTTCAGCTGCGGTGTTCTACCTCTCCTGCGGCTTGCGAAGCTAGGTTCCCCGCAAGTACACTCGGAGCGAGCGCAAGGATCTGCGCACGCGCGTTAAGCCCGAGCCGCGCTTCAGTGACTCAGGGGTCAATTTCTGGGGGGAAAGTCCGCCCTTTGCACGAAACCCCTTAGGCCGGGGAAAGGAGGACGCAAGGACGCTATTAGCTGGAGGAGCGTCAGGGGGCAGGGACAGGATCCAAAGAAGTTAGGGAGTGCTGAGGCTCCTCAAAGTATGCAAGGACGAGACTGGTAGCACGCGGAGATTAGTGAACCCGGGGGACCCGTGGCCCTATCCGATCCCGATGCAGAACCAGGCCCGCCTGCGCCGCCCCGCCGCTCGGGGCTCTTCACGACAGTGCCGTGCGGCGCTTTCCGGCCGATGCTGACGTGTCTGGAGGCGGGGTCTAGGGCTGCAGAGTGTTGGGGCTCCACCTGCTCGCTCTGGCCTCGGCGTCCACTTGCCTTTGCCCCAGAGGAGCGATGGCAGCGCGTGCCCGGTCCTCGCGGGCCCCGCCCGGCTCAGGTAGCGTAGGACCCGCCCTGCGGCGGCGAGAAGGGCGCTGCTCGGAGGCGGCGGAGGTCGCCCCCGTGGGGCCTGGGGAGAGGGCCGTCCCGATTGCAGCCCGCGGCTTCGCGATGACTGTGACATTCGGCGGCGCTCTGCAGTTGGAGGGCTGCAGTCCGAGGGCTTCGGGGACCTTGGGGGTACCCGAGGGAGGGGCTGCACTGCTGGGGTGTGTCTAGCAGTCAGAGCTCAGTAGGAGAATGCAGGCGAATGGAAGATCTGGGGCTCTGGGGGCTGAGATTTCTGTGATTCGGGGGGAGCCTACCCGACCCCTGCGCTCACACTTTCTCCATTTACCGGTTGTAGATAAAGTGCAAAAGGACAAGGCTGACCGGGCCTCAGGACCCAGGCAGGGCAGCCGAATGGGGAAACTCTTGGGTTTTGAATGGACAGACTTGTGCAGCTGGCAGAGGCTGGTGACCCTGCTTAATCGACCCACAGACCCGGCAAACCTAGCTGTCTTTCGTATTCTCTTCGGTGAGTCCACTTTCTGGGCGGGGACGGTTGGGTTGGTGGTGGGAAAATGACGATCGTCTGTCTCTTGGTTACTTAGACTTAGCTCCATTTTCCTAGGAGCTGAAGAGAACTGCCGTAGTGGAGGAGTTCTTTGTGAAGTTCAGGAACAAAGCCAGCTTTGTCTCTTTCAGTTGGAGTTTGGTGACCAGAAGTGCTTTCATCTGGGACTATGTGAAACACAAAAGCAGAGGAACAGGGACCTGTTTTGCTGATGGCATGAAGTTGCCCAGTAACTAACTTTAGAGAAACGAGGTAGGGTAACAAGGCCACACATTTAGCTGTGACTTCCTGACCCAGAGCTTCCTAACTCAGGCCATGGGATACCTGGCACGGGTCACAGGCATGCCAGACTATCATCCTCTTAGCCCAGTAGTTCTTAGCTGGGGCATTTTTGCTGCTGAGGTGATTTGGCAGTGTCTGGAGACACTGTTCGTTGTCACAGCTTAGGGAGGGAATAGGAACCTGACGACATCTATGCAAGCACAATAGATGCTATTAGAGGTCCTGTAATACACAGGGTACCCATGCCAGTAAATAATTCACCAGCCCAAAATGTGATCGACCCTGAGGTTGAGAAACCTGCTTATCTCAAGCTGGCTTTCTGACCTAACGCCCCTTCTGTTTATCCTTGTGTTTATCCCTGAGTGTTAGCCAAACGCTACTGCTTTCCTGGGTGTGCTAGGAAGCAAAAGAGGTTGAGAAGATGCTGGGCATGGTGGCATATGCCTGTAACCCTAGCACTTGGGGAGCTGAGACCGGAGGACCACCACAAGTTCGAGGCCAGCCTGGCCTACATAGTGAGTTCAAGGCCAGCCTGAACTACAAGGTAAGACCCTGTCTCAAAAGAAAAAAAAAAAATGTTGAGAAGGACCCCTCCTTCAAGCACTTTCTATAACCAGGTGGGATGGATCTTTGTAACTGAGCCCCAACAGTTTTTTTGTTAGTTTGTTTTTTGTTTTTTTCTCTTTTGTCTTTTTGAGACAGGGTCTCGCTATGCAGTTCAGGATGGCCTTGATCTCCCTTTGTAGCCCAGGCTGGTCTTGAACTCTCAGCGATCCTTCTGCCTCAGCCTCCTGAGTGTTGGGACTACAGGTGTGCGCCACCATGCCCGGCGAGCCCCAACAGTTTTTATAGTACTTTGTACACTTCTTTCATTTAATCCTCTCTGTAACCCTCTGAAGTATTGAGTCTCCTTTCCACAAGTGAAGAATTGGCTCGCTGAGAGTCGTAGGCACTGTCATTATTGCTGAATAAACCGTAGAACCAAGATGAGAAGTCTGACCCTGGAGCTGGACATGCTCACCTGGTTTCTCCTGTATTCAGCTGCTGCTTTAGCTGAGAGCTAACGGCTCCCTTCCCCATTGCTGTTGCAGCCTTCCTGATGGTGCTGGACATCCCCCAGGAGCGAGGGCTCAGCTCCCTGGACCGGAAATACCTGGACGGGCTGGATGTGTGCCGCTTCCCCTTGCTGGATGCCCTGCGCCCGCTGCCCCTTGACTGGATGTACCTTGTCTACACCGTCATGTTTCTGGGTGAGGGAGCGCAGGACACGTGGGAGTACTGGCTGGCCTGCAGACACTGAGATCAGAAGCATGCTTCTTAGGAATGACCGAGGTCTTGGGTGCCTATTTCACTCTACTGTGATTCGGTTGCATCCTGCTCATCTGTGTATCATCTGCACTGTGACCCCCTAACTCCTCTTTTTAAAATACGAAAGTAACATCTTATTTTTATTTAGTTTTGCCTGATTAGAAAATGCCTGATGGCTTTTCTTAAGCCCAGTCGTGGCCTGTCCACGAGGGGCTGGGCCTGTGGTGACCCCTTGATCTCTCAATCCTCTCCCACAAACCCCAGGGGCACTGGGCATGATGCTGGGCCTGTGCTACCGGCTAAGCTGTGTGTTGTTCCTGCTGCCGTACTGGTATGTCTTTCTTCTGGACAAGACGTCGTGGAACAACCACTCCTATCTGTATGGTTTGTTGGCCTTTCAGCTGACATTCATGGATGCGGACCGCTACTGGTAAGAGTCGGGGAGAGCGTGGGGAAGGATTGGCTGGGTTGGGGTGCTTCCTCGAGGCAGGGCCCAGTGGACTCCTAGAAATTGCTGCCGTAGGTACATTATCAACCATGTTTCGCAAAGCATGGTTACAGGATTACACTGTGACTTGGAATGGATTTGGGAGGAGGACTGGCCAGCCAGTTGGGGCAATTGGAGTGACAAGAAGTAAAATGTCTCCATCCTTTACTTGATCTGTCCACTTCCGGTAACACTCTTAGAAGAAGAGAATCTGGGTGTGGTGATGCACTCTGGAGGCTGAGGCAGGAGGATCACTGAGAGGTTGGGGCCAGTTTGGGATACATAATGAGTTCAAGGCCTGCCTGAACTACATGAACTACATAGTAAGAGTCTATCTCAAGGGAAAAAAAAAAAAAAGGAGGTTGTATGAGGAGGAGGAGATCATGTCAGGGGAGGGGGCCCATCAGGGAGAAAGTAACCTTCCCCCACCTGTGGCATGGGTGGGGAAAAAAGGATTTGGAGTCAGGGTGGCAGAGCAGGTGACCTTAAGGATTCTTTCCATTATTAAGTGAAAAGCAAATGTGAAATTTTATTAAGATGGATATAGGAACAAAATCACAAGCACTGAATTCATTAACATTTATGAAATTTCATCCCTTATGCACTCATACAAATTCCCCTTTTGTAAAACTTCTTATTTTTTGGAACCAGGTGCGATGGCACTTTGGGTGCTGGGATCAAATGTTAAGCATGTGCTTTGCCACTAAGCTATGTCCCTGTCCTCCGTGTAGTAAGACTTTAAGAATGTCCAGCTCCATCATAGAGAATTAAGAGGCAGGGTTTTTTTGTTTTTGTTCTTTGTTTTTGTTTTTTTTCCGGTACCAGGAATTGAACTCACGACCTTGCGCTTGCCAGGCAGGCGCTGTGCCGCTGAGCTAAATCCCCAGCCCCAAGAGGCAGTTTTGATAGGTTATCCCTGAGATTTTCCATTTTTTTGGCTTTTTTTTTTTGAGGCAGAGTCTCATTATGTAGTTCTGGCTGGCCTTAAACTCACTATTTAGCCCAGGCTGGCCTAGAACTCAGGGCAGTCCTTCTGCCTCAGCCTCCCAAGTGCTGGGAATACAGGCATGTGCCCCCATGCCCAGCTTTCATGACTCTTACGCATTTTGAAGAAATTACCTATCATTTACTGAGAGCGTGCCTTACGGCAGGCACATTTAAAATTTCCCTCATTACAGCCCTGTGACAGCAGTGTTAAACTCACGGTGCGTGTGCCGCAGCGGGCATGCAGAGCCCTGTCGGCAAATCACCCTGGCAGCTGAGTGTGGATATTCAGCTTTAATTGCAGAGTTGCACTTTGCAATAAATACGAGTGCTTTAGATGGCAGTTTGGGCACTCAGTCTCTAAAAGGTTCACCATCACTGCCCTCTGAAAAGCCAGGCATAGTGGCACTTGTCTGTAATCCTAGTACTTAGGAGGCTGAGGCAGGAGGACTGCAAGTTGGAGGCCAGCCTTTGGCAATTTTTTGAGACAAGGGCTCACTATGTAGTTTAGGGTGGGCTTCAACTCGCTACTCACCCTAGGCTGGTCTCAAGCTCAGAGTAATCCTCCTGCTTCAGCCTCCTGAGTGCTGGGATTACAGGCATGCACCACCATGCCTAGCTACTTTCAAACACTCCTTCAAATTCATAATGCATTGCCTTTCTTAGTCATTTTCTTTTGTTTGTTTGTTTGTTTTTTCTGTTTTTCTTCCGGTACCAGGAATCAAACTCATGACCTTGTACTTGACAGGCAGGCGCTTTGCAGCTGAGCTAAATCCCCAGCCCCTCTTAGTCATTTTCTAATTATAGCCTTTTTTCTCCCCTTATTTTATCCAGTAGAGCAGGCTGAATTGTGAGCTGATGGAAAACACTGAACGTTTTATTATTATAACTTATTCTACATAAACAAACAAACAACAACAACAACAAAAACCCAACTTATTCTACATAGTCTCTGATTTATAATATACTTAGGTGTTTTGACTTTATGGTTGTACATAAGCGTATCCATACAGCATTCTATTTTTCCACCTTGGAGTCCATATTCAATAAATTATATGGGCTGGTCATGGTGGTATACACCTGTACGTAATTCCAGCACTTGGGCAGTTGAAGCAGGAGGATTGTGAGTTTGAAGCCTGCCTGAGCTATACAAACAACACTCTGTCTTGAAAAACAAGAACAAAACCAAATCAAAGGAGGAGGAGAAGAGGAGGAAGAAGAAGAAGAAAAGGAAGAAAAATAAAATGAGAGAGTCAACATTTCATTTTAAAATGGTCTGTGTGTTAGATGATTTTACACAACTGTAGGCTAACTTAGGTGTTCTGAGCACATTTAAGGTAAGCTAGGCTGTGTAGATTACATGTACCAAATGCATTTTTTTTTTTTTTTTTTTTGTCTTTTTGAGGCAGGGTCTCACTATGCAGTTCAGGGTGGCCTTGAGCTCACTTTGTAGCCCAGGCTGGTCGTGAACTTGCAATGATCCTCCTGCCTCAGCCTCCCAAGTGCTGGGATTACAGGGGTGCGCCACCACGCCCGGCGCAAATGTTTGGCTTACAATATTTTCCTTATTTTTGCGTTTTTGAAACAGGGTCTCACTATGTAGCCCAGACTTGTCTTGAACTCGCAACGATCCGCCTGCCTCAGCCTCCCAAGTGCTGGGATTACAGGCATGCGCCACCAGGCCGGGCCAGTATTTTCAATTTATGATGAGTTTATTCAGACATTACATCATAAATCAAGAAACATCTGCAGTAATATTTCTTTTATTATCATTTGTTCCTCATAGTTAAGGTTGAGCGGAGGACCTCATCCATGCTGGGCAAGAACTCTACCACTGAGCTGCATTCTCAGCCCCTTTTTATTTTGAGACAGGGCCTTACAAAGTTGCCCAGGCTGGCCTTAAATTTGGCAGTCCTCGCCTCAACATCGTGAGTAGCTGCGATTCCAGGCATGCGCTACCTGGCTGTAGTAATATTTTCTTTTATAACAAAGTAATTCCTGTTACATTGGCCCAGATGTAGTGAGTGGTAGAGTGCTTGCCTAGAATGTGTGAGGCCCTGCGTTTGATCTCTAGCACAGCAGAAAAAGAATCACTGTTAGAGTTTGCTCCTATCTTTCAAAAGGATCTCAGAGTAACCCAGAGGAGCAGGGAGGAAGAGGGACGTGTCCCTGAGAGAGAGAGGACTGGTACAGCTGAAAGGGCTAAGAAACCTCCCTTAACCTTGAACTTCTTCGGCGCAGGTCTGTCGATGGCCTGCTGTGTGCCCGCAAGAGGAATGCGCATGTGCCCCTCTGGAACTACGCCATGCTGCGGGGCCAGGTATGGGATCTCATCCCAGAGCAGGGTGTTCCCCGTCCGCTGTCGTGGTCAGCATGGTTTTCCACTACCCTACTACCCAGCGGTGCCCTGCCTTCCTGGGTTGTCGCCGTATTCCATTTGCTGGAAAGCTAGGCTAGCTTGTCCATTGTTTCCAGTCTCTTAAGTCTCGTGGTTCTCCTTGTCATGGAACAAACAATGCTTTGTCTGTGCCAGACCATACAAACAGCACCCTGCTTCAGCCTCCTGAGCTCTGGGATTACAGGTGTGCACCACCATACGCAGCTACCTATAGCTTTTTGTGTGTGAGTACTGGGAATCGAACTTAGGACCTCGTACTTGCCAGGCAGGTGCTGTGCCGCTGAGCTAAGTCCCTGGCCACTGGCCTGTATATAGCTTTTCAAACACTGCCTCAAATTCATAATTCATTGCCTTTCTTTGTCATTTTCTCATTGTGGCCTTTTTCCCCCCCTTTTTTATGCACTAGAACAGGCTGAGCTGTGAGCCAGTGGCAGACAAGGAACTTTTTATTGTTATAACTTACTATACATAGTCTCTAATTTATAATATAACTTAGATTTTTGGCCTTTATGGTGGTACAAAAGCATTCTGTTTTTCACTTTGGAGTCCATAGTCAGTGAATTTCATGAGGGAAAGGATTACTTCTGGGCTTCTGTTGTCTTCTTGCTGCCTCAGGCTGTGCCTAACATAGGCAGGATGTCAGGAAATGCTTCCTGGTTGAGTGAATATCTGAGGGGAGAGGACTGAGGAGTAGATGTGTAAGATCAGAGCTGACTTCATTGTTGAAAAATGAACACAGTGTTTTGGCTGGGCGTGATGGTGCATGCCTATAATCCCAGCACTTGGGAGGCTGAGGCAGGAGGATCCTTGCGAGTTGAGACCAGCCTGGGCTACACAGTGAGCTCAAGGCCAGCCTGAACTGCATAGCGAGACTCTGTCTCAAAAAGACAAAAAAAAAGAAAAAGAAAACAGTATTTTGAAACTTCTTTTTCTCTTGGTGCGTTTTGTTGTGCAGATCTTCATTGTATACTTCATTGCGGGAGTGAAAAAGCTGGATGCCGACTGGGTGGAAGGCTATTCCATGGAGCATCTGTCCCGCCACTGGCTCTTCAGCCCCTTCAAGTGAGCGGGGTTGGGAGCGGCCTCCCCGGGGCCTGAGCGTGGAGTGTGACTGTCGCCTCGCACGGCTGCAGTGCCTGCCCCTTGAATTGGCCTCCTGCGTCCCTCCTCTCCCCGATCCCCCATGCAGCAGAAAGTATGGTCAGCGCTATTAAAAGGCTGACCCCCCCAGCCCCTGCTGGGAGCCCCATGAGTGGGAAAGATGGGAAAATAAAAAGGAGAGGAAGAACCAGGAGGAGGTGGCAGTGAATGCGGGGCTCGCCCAGCAGTTGCCTGGGCCCTGCAGCCCGGGCCCCATTACGAGCTCTGCAAAACAGAGATCACCTCTGGCTCTCCTCTTCCTGCCTCTCACTTTGTTCTTTTCCTTCCTCCCTGTTACTTGTCATTTCCTGAAGTCGGACTTCCCGTGTTTGCCCAGTGTTCATGTTTTAGTGTCTTCTCATTTGTGACCTCCGTGAGGAGCCTGCCGCACACAGTGCCCACTTTCCCGTCAGATCTCGCCTTTGCACGTCACAGAGGGTTATGTTAAAGACAGCTGGACACCCACAGCTGTAAAGGGGCTGGAGAACTACACAGCAGAGCATGTCCGAGGGCGGGCCAGGGACCTCCGTGTTGTGCCCAGCCAGGGGGTGTCCACTGGCAAGAGCAGGGTAGCGGAGGCACGTTGTGCTGGGAATGTGGTGTGACTTGGGTTTCACAGAGGGCCGGCAGGGTTGGACCTTTGTGCCTGTGTCTGCAGACTGGTGTTGTCCGAGGAGCTGACTAGCCTGCTGGTGGTGCACTGGTGCGGGCTGCTGCTCGACCTCTCCGCGGGCTTCCTGCTCTTCTTTGATGCCTCCAGACGCATTGGCTTATTCTTCGTGTCCTACTTCCACTGCATGAACTCCCAGCTCTTCAGCATCGGTCAGTACGCGGCCCGCTGCAGGGTTGCGGGGAGATTAGTATGCGTGGAAGCATTGTGTGGGTGCAGAGATAGTGGTGTGGAGCAGGAGCTAAAGGGAGCCCAAAGCAGTCACTGAATAAGTGGGGAGGAGCTGAGTGGGGATTCTGGGCTCAGTGTGTTTAGTGAGGAATCTCTAGGAAGAAGCGTCCTATAGTTAAGAATTTATGGCCAGCCGGGCATGGTGGTGCACACCTGTAATCCCAGTGCTCGGGAGGCTGAGGCAGGAGGATCATTGCGGGTTCGAGACCAGCCTGGGCTACAAAGTGAGCTCAAGGCCAGCCTGAACTGCATAGCGAGACCCTGTCTCAAAAAAAAAAAGAATGTGTGGCCGCGTGTGGTGGTGCACACTTGTTATCCCAGCATTCGGGAGGCTGTGGCAGGAGGATCACAATGATTCTAATGCTACCCTGCGCTCCATAGTGAGTTCAAGGCCAGCCTGAACTGTGTAGAGAAACCCTGTCTCAGACAAAAACTGAATTTGACCACAGGCATGGTGGTGCTTGCCCGGCCCAAGCAACTTAGCAAGACCTTGCCTCAAAATTTGAAAGAAAAGGGAAAAAAAAGCGAGTTGTGGTGGCATATATCTGTAATCCCCTCAGGAGGATCGCCATGCATTTGAGGCTGGCCTGGGCCACATAAGTTCAAGGCCAGCCTGGACTACATAACAAGACCTGTCTCAAAAAAAAGAAAAAGAAAAACTTGAAAGAAAAAGGAGGGGAAAAAAAGGCTGGGGATGTACCTCAGGGTAAAGATCTTGGATTTGCTCCCTAGTATCACAATAAAAGATGAGTATTTTTAAAAACTGGTGACATAGCTTAGGGGTGGAGTACTTGCCTACCATGAACCAGGTCTGCATTCAATCCCCAGCACTGCAAGAACATGGGAGAGAGAGAGAGAGAGAGAGAGAGAGTGTGTGTGTGTATGTGTGTGTGTGTGTGTGTGTGTGTGTGTGTGTCTGTGACTAAGGATTGGACCCAGGGCCTTCATACTGAGTATACTCTCAGCCCTTTTTATTTTAATTTTTATTTTTATTAGTACGTTTGCAGTACATAATGCTTGCATTCATCATGGGGACTGGGTACATGTATACATGTACATAACTCATCTTAATTCTGTTTGTGTCTTACCCCTTCCACTCCCTCTCATTTATTTTTTACTTTTTTTTTTTGGTCCTGGGAATAGAACTCAGGACCTTGCACTTGCCAGGGAGGTGCTTGTGCCGCTGAGCTATATCCCCGGCCCTTATTTTTTACTGTGAGACAGTTTTGCTGAGTTGCCTGGCTTGGCCCAAACCTGCTATCCTCCTGTCTCGGCCTCCCACAGGGCTGGGATGACAAGCGTGCCTCACGGGCCCCTGGGACTCTGCAGAACCCCTGGGAGAGGCTTCTAAGGAGGGGGATGAAGGGAGTCTACTCAACCTCTTGAAATACCCTCTGCTGTCCTAGGTATGTTCCCCTATGTCATGCTGGCCAGCAGTCCTCTCTTCTTCTCCCCTGAGTGGCCTCGGAAGCTGGTCTCCCACTGTCCCCAAAGACTGCAAGAGCTGCTGCCCCTCAAGGCTGCCCCTCAGCCCAGCGCTTCCTGCGTGTATAAAAGGAGCCGGGCCAAAGGCAGCCAGAAGCCGAGGCTGCGCCACCAGCTGGGCGCCGCCTTCACCTTGCTCTACCTGCTGGAGCAGCTCTTCCTGCCCTATTCCCACTTCCTCACCCAGGTTGGTGGGAGCTCGCATGCACAGTAGAGCCTGCAGAGTGGCAGGGTGACGGGCTGGGAAGAAACGGGCTGGTTCCGCAGCCCTTTCCGGGTAGACGTTGGGGTCGGTGTGAGAAGCACTGAGCTCTCCCCTCTGCTAGGGCTATAACAACTGGACCAACGGGCTGTATGGCTACTCCTGGGACATGATGGTGCACTCGCGCTCCCACCAGCACGTGAAGATCACCTACCGTGACGGCCGGACCGGCGAGCTGGGCTACCTCAACCCCGGGGTGAGGCATCTCATGCTGACATAGACTGCGCTTCAGAGCCTGCAGGAGCTTCAGGGTCTGGTTTGGTCCTACACCTGCCATAAAGTAAAACAAACCTGGGTCCTTGCCCTTTCTCTAGAGCCAGATTGGGCGTTCCTTTTGTAGGTCAAGATAGAACATCTCTCACTTTGTTTTGAATCAGGGTCTCACTGTGTAGTTCAGGCTGGTTTTAAACTCACTGTGCAGCCCAGGCTGGCCTTGAGCTTGCTGTGATCCTCCTGCCTCAGCCTCCTGAGGGCTGAGATTATAGGTGTGAGCCCCTCTGCCTGCTTTATCTCACACTTTTTTGAATTGAGGTTAGGAAAGGTGAGTATGAGTACCATGAGCCCAGCAGTGAAAAATTCATTCCCAAAGACAAGTTTGTTTTTCAGTATGGGGTATTGAACCCAGGGCCTTCACACAGAACTCTAGCCCTTTTTTATGTTCTGTTTAGAGACAGGGTCTTGCTGAGTTGTCCAGGCTGGGCTTGAATTTGTGATCCTCCTGCCTCAGCCTCCCAGTGTACTGGGATTACAGGCATGTGCCACCAGGCCCAGCTAAATTTCTTTTTTTTCCTGGCTAAAGTGGGCATCAGGCAGCGGTGTTTTTTGCCGTTGGCAGTGCATGCCCTGTGTGGGTGTTGGTGACGAGTGGGACTAATGTGGGGGTTTGGGACAGGTATTCACACAGAGCCGACGATGGAAGGATCACGCAGACATGCTGAAGCAGTATGCCACTTGCCTGAGCCGCCTGCTTCCCAAGTACAATGTCACTGAGCCCCAGATCTACTTTGATATTTGGGTCTCCATCAATGACCGCTTCCAGCAGAGGTGGGCAAGGGGAGCAGAAAATGGGAAAAAATGAAGTGCAGCTCTTTCTGCCAAGATGAACACACAGCTCACGCTCCCTGGAGTTGTCTTGCTTAAAAGGCTGCTGCTCTACTGCATGTCCCTGTTGACCTGGTTGTGGGCATATCTGATTGCGTCCGGCAGGGGGCACCATCATCCAGAAGAAAAGTGAACTGCTTTTTAGACTCTGTTAACACGGTGCCTTCTCCTCAGGTGGCCACTTAACCCCCATTCTTTCCAGGGCTCCCAAATCTCCTCCCCTTCTCTCCGCCCTGGTCTGGCAATAACACACTGGCACTCAGCCGTTTCTCCTCTCTGGAAACCCTATTCCCTCCTGCTGGGAATGAGAAGAAACTGGCTGTTCTGGGTGGGTAGGTGACTCTGGTCTCCTTAGAGCATGGTTTTCTTCCCTAAGGCTTTTTGACCCTCGTGTGGACATCGTGCAGGCCGTCTGGTCCCCTTTCCAGCGAACGCCGTGGGTGCAGCCGCTCTTGATGGACTTATCCCCTTGGAGGACCAAGTTACAGGAAATCAAGAGCAGCCTAGACAACCACACCGAGGTGGTCTTCATTGCAGATTTTCCTGGTACGGAGCACAGTGAGGAGACTGCACTGTTCCCTAAGTGCCCTGGCCTGGGACGTTGCCTACAGCGCCCTGGGCTGGGCTCTCAGGGCCGCCGATGGGGCGTGGGACGTCTCTGTTCTAGCTGGGAGTATGAATGCTGCCCTCCCACCCCTGCAGGGCTACACTTGGAGAACTTTGTGAGTGAGGACCTGGGCAACACCAGCATCCAGCTGCTGCAGGGGGAGGTGACTGTGGAGTTGGTGGCAGAAGAGAAGAACCAGACCCTTCGGGAGGGAGAGAAAATGCAGGTATTCTGGTGGGATTAACAGCGGTAGAAAGTTGAGATGAACAGGGTTTGTTTATTATAAACAAAAATGTTTCGCCCATAGCAGTCATACAGTGGGGGCTTCAGAAGCAAGAGCTCAGGCTTGGGGTGTGGCTGTGTGGCACAGCACATACACACAGCCTCGTTTAACCCCCAGCGCACACTCTGACTCTAAACACAGAAAAAATGGTGCCAGGAGGTACACTCAGTACTCAGGAGGCTGAGGCAGGAGGATCACTGCTAGTTTGAAGGCAGCCTGGGCTTCACAGCGAGTTCAAGGCCAGCCCGAACTGCATCATGAGATCCTGTGTCAGAAACAACTGGTGGCAGGAGGGGTAGAGTAGGGAGGCCACAGGCTGGCTAGGGAGAGACTGAAATACACCCATTTCTTCCCCTTGTCAGTTGCCTGCTGGTGAGTACCATAAAGTGTACACTGTGTCTGGTACTCCTTCCTGCTACATGTACATCTATGTCAACACTACAGAGCTCGCTCTTGAGCAAGACCTGGCATATCTGCAAGAATTAAAGGAGAAGGTGGAGAATGGAAGTGGTGAGTATATGAATGTTTCAGCTACGATAGCCCCTGGCTTGAAAGAGTCAGGGTTGGCCAGGTGTGGTGGCACACCACTGTAATCCCAGCACTTGGGAGGCTGAGGCAGGAGGATTGCCTTGAGTTTGAGGCCAGCCTGGACTATATAGCAAGATTGTCTCAAAAAAACAAAAAAATAAAACAAGTCAGGATTATGAATGAGGACCTAGCCATTAAAGAATGAACTTGAAGTCTCTGTTGGCAAAGAGTTCTAGGGGAGATAGGTCTCCATCTCAGTGATTCTTTTTCCTGTCTTCTGGCAGAGACAAGGCCTCTACCTCCAGAGCTGCAGCCTCTCTTGGAAGGGGAAGTAAAAGGGGGTCCTGAGCCAACACCTCTGGTTCAGACCTTTCTTAGACGCCAACAAAGGCTCCAGGAGATTGAACGGCGGCGGAACACTCCTCTGCACGAGAGGTTCCTCCGCTTCTTGCTGCGAAAGCTGTACGTCTTTCGCCGAAGGTTAGTCTCACCCATAGCAGTATCATCACTGGCATCTCATTTGCATACATGCTAACTTTTCTCCAGGGACAGCAACACTAGAGGCAGCCCAGGGAAAGGACAGGCTGAGCTAGGTGTCTTCCCTGCCCCTTCTCCTCTCCTGATGTGAAGGAACAATAAGCAGCCCGTGTCTGCTGACCTGCTGTCTTGTGCCTGAGCTTCTCCAGCCTCCCTTCCCTGGAATCTTCTGCAGACAGCATAGGTAGTGGGTGTCCGTCCTTCCAGTGGGGACACGGAGGGCCACTGGCCTGTGGGGTGGAAACTGGATTCTCAAATATGCCAGGATTCGTGGAGCTAGGACCAGGTGCTCCCTCAGGGACTTGGCTGGGATTGTTAGGTTGAAACAAGAGCTTGGGCTGAGCCAGCATAGTGGTGCACGCCTATAATCCAGCACTGGGGAGGCTGAAGGAGGATTACTGAGTTTTGAGGCCAGCCTGACCTATATAGTGAGTTCAAGCCCAGTCTCAATTCAAGTAAGACTCTGTCTCAAAAAAAAAACATTGTAAGTTTGGATTGAGTAATTTTTTTTTTCTCGTTTTTCAGCTTCCTGATGACACGTATATCACTTCGAAATCTAGTATTAGGACGCCCTTCTCTGGAGCAGCTAGCCCAAGAGGTGACTTATGCCAACTTGCGGCCTTTTGAGCCCACAGGAGAATCAAGTCTTTCAAACAGAGAGTCTTCTAATCCTAACTCTCCTGAGCCAGATTCCGATCCTACCCATTCAGAGTTGTGAGGGGCCTTCGATAGGTGCAGGTGTGAGAGCAGCCAGTCATAGGCCGAGTACCTATGCAATGGACATCTGAGAAAATTATCTCAGATTTTTTTACATTTTTTTTCTTTCACAATGCTTTTTGAGATGATAGCTTAGAGGAACCAAGGAAATAAAGCAAAGATAAGATTTTTCAATTCAAGATTGAGGAACCATAAGGAAGAAACAATGAGATGTTCTTTTAGGATAAAGTTTAAACTGAACAGCTCTTTAGGAAAAGAAACTTCTCATGTGCTTGCTGAGTGCTAGGCACTGTGTGAAGCAGTGTACCTCTTATCACACTGGAACCTTTGTGACATGGTCTTGCTATGTAGTTTAGGCTGGCCCTGAACATTCAGTGACCCTCTTTTCTTGGACTCCCGACTGTTGGGATTACAATCGTGTGCCACTGTGCCCGCTACCACACTGAACTGGTAACAGACATGAAGTCTCTTTATACTTGGAGAAACTAAGAGGTAAAATAATTTGCCCAGACATCCAGCTAGTAAGGAGTGGACTGATAGTTTGAGCTTAGGTCTGTTTGACTTCAGATCTTGCACTATGTGGCTTGTAATTTTCACAACTGGTGACAGTAAGTCTGAAATAATGTAGCTTAAAACTTAATAGGATGAGGCAAGGAGGATCTTTAGTTCAAACCCAGCCTGAGCAATTTAGTGACATGGTGAAACCATCTCAAAAAAAAAGAGCTGGGAACTCGGCTCAGTGTGAAGGCCCTGGGTGCAATCCCTAGCACCCCACCCCCAAAAAACACCTCAGAATTTAATCGTAAGTAATGACTGGGGGGCTGGGGATTTAGCTCAGCAGCATGGCGCCTGCCCAGCAAGCGCAAGGTCGTGAGTTCGATCCCTGGTACCAGGGGGGGAAAAAAAAGTGATTAGGGTAGCAATCAGCTTCTAAAGGCACAAAAATTTTCTCAGCACCATAACTGTTTCCTTTTTTGTTCCTGTTATTTATGTGGCCAATTAGGTTTTTCATTACCAATTATCCACCCAAGAAAGTTAAGCTTAGTTAACAGCAACTTTATACTTTGACCAAGCAATCAATTCTACCTCTTCAACCTGTTTTCATTCCCACTGCCTGTCTCTATTCTTTCAGTCTTTACCCTGGACTCTATTCTACTTAGGGGTAGACCAAGGCAGGGTCACCGTGTTTGGACCTGGCTGAGCAGGGTGGTCAGGTCCTCTAACTCAGTGTGGGTTCCTGATGATCACAGTATTATAGAGTGCCATCACTTGTAAGAATGAGAGCAGCACTGCTTTTCAATCCTCATAATCTTTTTGTCAAGCTCCCTACCACTGAGCTGCACTGCCACCCTTGCTCTTACTCATAGCAATGGTAAGCTAAGTTCAGCTATTTCCTATTTCCCTGTTTTGACCAGTAAAGGAGTGCTCCCATTTTGGAAAGCCTCTCACAGAAAGTAACTTGTGGGGTAAGGAAGCTGCCTTCCCATTTGGGTGCTACCTCTTGATTCATTTTTCCCCAAGGTAAATGCTGTGGCAAGGTGGAGATGATGGGCTCATATGAAAAACAATTCCTTGATAGACACGGTTGTTACTCATATTGCTGGAAGAATCGGTCCCTCCCTGCGCAAAAACTTTTTGCCTGGCAATGAGCCATCAATGTCCTCATAGCCAGACCTTACTCCAGCGTTTCTCTTTTTATTCTTAACCATTTTGAAACTTTAGAAAAGCAAAGGCAATCTTTTTTGGCAGTACTTAGGGTTTGAACTCAGGGCCATGGCACGGAGCTACATGCCCAGGCCCATTTGAGACAGGGTATCACTAAATTGCCCAGGCTTGGCTCAAACTTGCCATTCTTCCAGCTCAACTTCCTAGAGTGCTGCAAGTACTAATTTTTTGATGTACACATTCATAATTTACATTCCTTTTTTTGTGCCCCTATGTCTTATGGTTTTCCAGCTATTTACCATCACTGCTGTGTCCTGTCATTTCATGCCTTCACTGTTTTGCTTTTCTCACCAATCCACCTTCACTGAATATACATAACTTTCCAGAAGGGGCACACAAGCTCTGTATGTAAACTCTCTTGAGAGCTAAAGACCTTTGTTATTTAGGAAATAAATCTTGGCTTCAAGTTTACTAGTTTTTTTTCTGCCAGGTTTGAGACAGGGTCTCATGATATACCCCAGGATGGCCTTAGACTTGCAGTGATCCCCTTGCCTGAGTGCTAGGTTATAGGGGTGACTACACCCACCTATTCTGCCAATTTAGAGGCACCAATCAGTTCTAGTCTCTAGGCATCAACTGCCAGGACCAGAGTGCTAACTGGTCTGCGGCCATTAGGAACCATCTGCACAGGAGGCCGCATAGCAGGCGAAGCCTCATTTGTTTTTACAGCTGCTCCCCACTGCTCATATTCCCATCTGAGCTCAGCCTTGGGCCACAGCAGCAGCATCAGGTTTTCATGAACACGAGCCTGTGAACTGCATATAGGAGGGATCTACATTACATGCTCTGTATGACTAATGTAATAGAAGTACACAATGCTTGGTTAGATCCCCCAGGTCTCAATATTCTCAGCCAGACTACAAAGCTGAGCTACTACTTTATCAGATATTGGCACAAATGTGCCAATCTCAGCCTGCACATACTCCTAATTCATAGCCAATAAGGTCAATAGCTTATGAAGCCTCTGGGAATTTATAGCACAGTCATTTATGTAACAGGCTCCATTTTAATTATCATTTTTTTTTAACACTGGAACCCACAATGCTAAATCTACTAAATATAGGTATACTGGGCTGGAGTATAGCTTGGCAGTAAACTGCCTACCATGCACAGGAACCCTTGGGTTTGACTTTTAGCACTAAAGAGTGATCTCCCCACTTGCCAGAAGTACAATGATGGATTAAGGTCTTTTTACTCTAGCCATTCACCTTTTATCACAGCATTATCTGTGTTTACAGGAGTCCACTACTGGTCTTAGAATAAGCCTCTTCTCTCCAGATAAATAAGGTTGAAGTGTGAAAAAGGTATTGGCCAAGACTAATGTTCCTGAATTATTGATTATAATTCTCAAGGGCTATTAAAGGTAGAACTACAGCATTAAAAAAATAATGGACACAGTTAGGGTAGAACCTAGCATTTTATTTAGATCTTCATTAAACTGTTGGAATTGAGAACCAGACATACGTAATAAACCTCCAAAAATAGATCCTGAAAGGCACTTTCCGCTTAGGGCAAGCAGTCATGGAATAAGCATGTAAACAAGCTGGCTTCTCTGTACCACACCAGCCAAGTCAGCTTTCTCCATGGCCAGCTGCACCAGCTCTGCCCTCCCTTCTATAACACCAGCCAGACCCCCTGTAGGTCTAACCCAAGGTTTTTCTGTAGGACACCTTGGCCTACCTGGGAATGCTGGAAACATGTTGTTAAAGGAATCATGGTGTTGAGGAAAGGAAAAAAAAAGAAAGAAAAGAAAAAAAAAAACTTTTTAAAAGCTGCCATCTGAGGTGATGGCTTCTCTGTACTTACGCCATACCCCAGAATACAATAAATAAGCAATTAGAAAATGTTCAAGTATGAAGGGATTTCCTCCTCCCCGCCAAAAGCACTGCTCTCTGAAGGAAGCTGGTTTCTCTGTAGCTACACCAGCTGTTCAGAAAGCTCATTGGACCTGGTTTTGAAAATAAAACAAAGTTAAAACCCTGGGAGGAATTATTGTGCAGTGTGGAATACTCAGTCTTTCTTATAAAGAAAAAAAAAGTTATCTGGTACCAAAGTGTGCAACCTACAGACCCTCAGGTACTGCCCTGTGACTTCTCTGTATGACATCACAAGGGTGCCAAGTGCCTGTTTTTCTAGACTAAGTTGGTGAGGTTTGGCTAGTGCTGAAACCATGCATAGGATTGGTTTTACTAAATTAAAAACCTTATTACGTACGTCCTCCAAAAGACAGCTGAAAAGTGGAGATTTTGATTTGGTGCTGTTAGAGGTGGCAATTAGAGCATAAGCACCAGGGAGATGGTTTAATAGTAACTGCCTTTCTTTGATGTCAGGCTAGAGCTCCAACTGGAACTTGCGTTACATGCAAGACTGATTGGATAAGGAACACTCCCTGACAAAGCTACATAATTAGAAATGGATCAAGTTACAGGGCGAGTTAGGAGAGGGCTTCACATTCATAATAGAGCTCAAGACATTACAAATTCATGCTGATAGGGCTGTGGCATTGCCAGACAGGCTATAGTGGAACTACAAGTACTTTACGTGCACATTACAAGGACATTTTCAGCATGGTGGGAAAGTCAACGCAATTAGGACTTTGGAGGTTTGGGTGATAGGGCACAAAGGTTCAATTTCAAAGCATTATTCACTACAGTGTTGTCTGTTTCTAGGCAGTTACATGGATCACCTATGCTCGCTAAATTCATTATAATGGTGAACAAAACACCTAGGGACAGAATAGCAAGCCCAACTTACAGTCCCCCACAAAAGCTAAGATTCATGTCATTGACTAAAGAGTGACTGCCAACTGATCAGGAGCTGAAAGAGGACAGGAAAAATTAGGGAGAAGGGCCCTTTCCCTCAGAGCTTGAAGGCTTCTCTGTAGCCTACGCCAACAAGTCTGGGGAAAAAAGGCTAACACTTTCAATATTTAAGCTTTTTGGGCACTTCCCATGGGAAGCTGTCCCTACCAAAGTGGCCATAGGCTGCAGTCCTCTGATAAATTGGCTTCTTCAGATCCAGATCCCTGGAATATATAAGTCCGTAACTTAATATGTAGCATTCAATTAAAATAAAACAAAACAATCAGCAAGACTCATTTTCAAGAGCTCTGGCAAATGAGTTCAGTTCTCTGGGGTATGCTAGGAAAAAAGTTTGTGGCAGAAATGTTTGTTACTTTCCTGGTGTCCAAACTCCTTGCACAGTTCTTATTAGTAACTACAGCTCTTTTTCCGGCCCTGGCTCAACAAACAGGAAAACCATTATTCTGAGGAATTCCAATTACCAAAAAACTCATCTGAGATCACAGAATACTTACCAAGGTCCCACTGCTCACTATGGTTATTTCCTTTGTAACAGCCTTGAACATCCCACTTATCTACATATTAAATTTCTTAGGTCAAACACCTTTAGGTATGAGCAAATCCTGTTATCTATTTGTTAGTCTAAGCCATGGAACACTAATTTTATTTCTCAACTAAGCCCCCCCCCCCCCACAGGCAATTTAAAGCATCAGCACATTTTGGAAATTAGCTATTCCCCCACTTAAGGAGTCTACCTTCACCCCCTGGATTTAAGTAGTATGTATACACACCCACACCCTTTATTTTTCATTAGCAATATGCTTTACCATCTTTACCTGACAATGACCCCAGGGCGAAGATCAAAATTCTTCTTCACAATCTCTAACAGTTCTCTCTCACTCTTCTGAGAGGTACCATAATGGAAAATGGAGATCGACAAGGGATGAGAAACTCCAATAGCATAAGAGACCTATAAGGATCCAAACGTTCTAAGAGTTAGTACTTCTAAGACATACTTGAGTAATACGTCGGCATAAACCAAGTAGCTAAGGTATTACTAAATATCCTCCCAGCTTACACAACTTTAACCATTCCAGTTACATAAAGAGTATATAAATGTACCTGTACAAGAACCCTTCTGCACAGACCTCCTTTAACAAGGGATTTTGCCACCCAACGAGCAGCATAAGCAGCTGAACGGTCCACCTTGGTATAATCCTTTCCTGAAAAGGCACCACCTCCATGAGCTCCCCAACCACCATAAGTGTCCACAATGATTTTCCGGCCAGTCAAACCAGCATCACCCTGGAATTAAAGGATTTCAGTCATTTTATACCTAATCCTCCCTAATAAATGGTTCCACATTAGGTTTTGTTCTAAACCATTCAAGATTCACAGGTATACTTCACAAAGCCTAAAAGAAAGTGATAGTAGTGAAAAATTCCCCAGTAACCTATGATCCAAAAACAAAACACAAACATACAAAACCCTGAGTTAACATTACCTGAGGTCCACCAATAACAAATCTGCCGCTTGGCTGTAGGTGATAGATTGTGTCCTCATCAAGATACTTTGCAGGCACAACAGCCTTAATAACCTTCTCTTTTAGGGCATCTCTCATTTCATCAAGACAAACTTCCTCATCATGTTGAACAGATATAACAATTGTGTGGACTCTGATGGGAATCACAGCACCTCGATCTTGCATATACTGCACAGTCACCTTGAAAACAACATCGGTTATCAGAATGCTGCTTACCAAACAATAACTAACTCTATCTTAAGTTATAACACTACAAAAACACAAACGTTACTCTGCTCAGCTACAACTAAATAACTTTATGGATTTCCTATGCTAGTGTAATTCGGGACAGTACAACTTCTTGGTTTTTGAGATAGGGTCTCACTATGTAGTTCAGGTTGGCCTTGAACTCACTATGTAGCCCAGGCTGGCTTGAACTTGTGGCAGTCATCCTTCCTGCCTTGGTCTCCTGAAGGCGGGGAGACAGTTCAGCTTTAAGATCACTTACTTGGGTTTTTGAATCTGGGCGTAACCAAGGCAGAGTACCACTGCGGCGTAATTCAGCCAGTTTGGCATTTAGCTTGTGGGCTAACACAATGGTTAAAGGCATACACTCCTCAGTTTCATCAGTGGCATAACCAAACATTAAGCCCTGAAAAAGGATAAGTCACTAATGTGATCATTTCAAGTTTTAGAATATATTTTTAAGAGATGCAAACAGCCTCTATCACAGTACCTGGTCTCCAGCACCAATGTCTTCTTCATTCCGGTCAAGATGAACACCTTGAGCAATATCTGGTGATTGTTGCTCTAAGGCCACCAGCACATTGCAAGTCTTGTAGTCAAACCCTATAAACAAAAATGTTTTTCTAGGCAAAGAAAGTCATAATACCTTCTCTATTTACAACACAATTCACAACTCCATTACAAAGAAATCAGATATAGTAGTCCTCTATCATGGTTTTAATTTTGTGCTCTTAGTTTTTTCCAATATTTATCTCAAAATATTAAATGGGAAATTCCAGAAAGTAAATTTGTAAATCTAGCCTGTTGTTCTGAACATGATGAAATTCTGTCTCTCCCAGAAA